CCCCAAAACCCCAAAACCCCAAAACCCCTATTGTGAGATAGTAAAACATCTTAGCAACATATGTCATAAAGATATACTTTCAGATATTTTATTAATAAATCTATTCAAGTTTTGAGTATAAAAATATGGAAGTCTCTGGATTGTAATTGCCAATCGAGCACAACCCAAGCATTAACTACGAGCATATTAATTTAATGTAGACTGCTGGATGTAACATTCACAAGCTGATTGAGCTTAGAAGAGATATTCACAAACACCCAGAGGGTGGTTTCCAAGAATTTGAGACTTAGAAGAAGTTGAAAGCAGCTCTCTTTAGTTACGGCATAGAAGAGGAGAACATCAAAGTAGCTGCTAAGACCGGATTAGTGGTAGATATATAGGGAAAGGGAGAAGTCTAAGCAGATAATAAGGGCATTAAGATGATTGCTTTAAGAGCAGATATGGATGCTCTGCCTATTCCAGAAAACAATCCAGATTTGGAATATAAGACTACAAATTCATGGGCTCATATGTGCGGACATGACGGCCACATGACCACTCTCTTGGCTGCTGCTTAAGTGATTGCTAATAACAGAGACAAAATGCCAAGCGATAAAACTGTGAGACTACTGCTTCAGCCTGCTGAAGAAGGTCCTGGTGGAGCTCTTCCAATGATAAAGGAAGATAACTGCTTGTAAGATGTGGATGAGGTGTATGGATTCCATAATGTACCGAATTTCCTAGAGGGAGAAGTCAGGGTGGTGTCAGGACCTATAATGGCCCAAGTCTCAGTTGTGAGAATCAATGTAGTAGGCAGAGGAGGACACGGATCACTTCCACATCTAGTCAACGACGTCATCACTGCATCTGCTTTTATCCTTAATAACTTGCACACTATTAAGTCAAGATGCATCCACAACAAGGAGAATTTTGTATTTACGATTTGCCAAGTTGACAGTGGCTTTACTCACAATGTGTTCCCAGACAAGTCTTTTATGCAGGGCACCATCAGATCTTACAATAATGAAGTGCTAAAGAAGATTAAGGAGAAGATTGTGTTGATCGCTGAAACGACTGCTGAGACTTATGGCTGCAAAGCTACTGTAGATGTCTTTGACATGTACCCTGCCACTATAAACCATCCCACTGAGACTCAGCACATTCAAAGACTTGCTAAGCAGCACCTAGGAGAACACTTGCTTAGCGAACAGGACTTACCTCTAACTGCAAGTGAGGACTTTTCATACTTTTTAGAGGAAAAGCCAGGCTGCTTCTATATGCTTGGACTAAAGAGGCCCACTGACAATACAAACAAGTCCCTTCACACATCTAACTATGACTTCAATGATGACATGATTGCCTATGGAGGTTACTTTTACACTCGTATCGTTGAGGACAGACTTGATGTCAAATTATTCTGAGATATCAATCAATTTTAATATTCATTCAACTCTGATAGAAAATAGCGGGGTTTTGGGGTTTTGGGGTTTTGGGG